AGTGGAAATGACTTGTGAGAAAGGAGTCAAGGACTTAACAGATACGACTGTATTTAGGGCTAAAGATAAAGACGAGCAAGACCAAATGCATGTACATACAAAACAAGTTTGCTCAACCAAAGGAAGCCAATATTAGAGGGACATAACCGTGAAACACAATCAAATATGTATATGTAGGGCAATTTTTAAAGAAAATTATAAAATACAGAGGCGCGTGAGACGTTTTGCAAAGTTACGTTTGAAAAGGAAACGCAACATAGGCTGAACTTCTTTCACACCGTACGTAGCCAACCGTGCTAATCGGAGGTCCGATGTTAAAAAATAAAGTTTTTAATTGGTACATGTTATGCGCTGTGATGCATGGATCTAAAACACAGATGGAGAAATCGGTACGAAAAATATATTCTTTTACAAAAATAAGCGTGGAGAAATGCATCCTAGGAATTGAACCGAGAGACAGAATGAGGAACATATATACCAGAGAACAACACACAAATTAGAGGCATCGCGTAGACTGTTTAGAAACGAGAGTGGGCTTAAGGGTAGGGCACGTGGCTAGAACGGATCATAGCCAATGGATGAGACTGGTGACAGAATGGCAGCCAAAATAATAGAAAACACACTGTGCAGGACGATCACGGCAGAGATGGAGCATTGCGATCAGCTCCACATTCCAGGAGTTAATGTTGCACATTATGACGGCGGACAACCACTTTTGACGTTTCACAAAGTGGTTTCTATCTCAATAATGATGGGCTGAGTCAACCAAACTCCCACCGCCTTCCCACGGCGATTTGAATTCGTGACTTTCTGAATGTGAGATGAGCATTCTGTGAAAAGAGGAAACTCTTTAAACTGGGGTATAGCAGTTGGCGCAGTGGTTTAAGATATCGGGCTGTGAACCCGGTGAACTGAGTTTGATGCTGCTGCACGGCTAACATCAGTGTCGTATCTCAACCGGCCCTTGCTCCCCCTTCGCCAACCCCCACGCTAACCAGTATGATGAAGCGTGTTCACACAAGCCCTGTGCTTGAAGCAGTATGGGAGAGGCCTTTGTCCAGCAGAGCATTGGCAAAGGGCTTGCGCAGCTATTATTATTATTGCCATATATTAAACCTAATATTTTGCTGAGCTCTGCTCGGTGTATAAACTTTCACTCAGACCTGGCACATTTGGTTCCGATGTTGTATATCATCCCGTGATTTTTATTTCCTTGAGACGGTGACCTAAAGGGAGATTTAAAATGCAGTGGTGCGAATGGACATAGCGGTGAAGATAGGATGAATAAGTACACATTGTAACTGATTAATTTATTCAAAGTCGTGTCGGTACAAAATAATTTGTCTTTCACATTCATGCCGTTCTTTCTGAACGAATACTAATAACAGTGTCCTGCCACTGCAATGACCACTAAAGGCTGCGATTTACACGACATTATATGCACACTTACACTTCGGTATTGTTATCAAAGAATCTCAGAGCACAATGGAGAAGAGCTAGAATGAAAACCAAATACAGTGGGTTTTTTTTTGTTCTTCCCGAGGGTCACTCCAGGGGCACGCTTGGCCAATTCCTTCGTAAATACTCTTTTCCTCGTTGGGGTATACACGAAAATCCAAAGAAAAATAAAACGAGAACTAATGGTCCGTTGATTTACCTAAGATCGTGAGACAACAATGGGCCACACAGGACGTTGGTGTAGTTATCTCTGAATTCAGTTAACTTTGTGTGCTTTCATTTACGAGCAATAAATTATTCTCATTATCCTGTTCCCTTGCAATGGTCAGTGTGGCTCCACAGAGACCGTTAAATTGGCAATTCTGAATCCGGTTATTTCCGTAAGAGCAAGAGCATATGAACGCAGTTTATGCACTCACATAGGCATTGCATAACTTTGAAGAACATTGCAAATGTGGTTTAATTGCCTATTTGTGTTCATCCCCGGTCGGCTTCACTAGCGCCGTGAGTACGACCATCTGACGCGAGATTATTAAAACTGATTTCTGCTCCATGTGAGTTTGTTGACCGGATGCCAGACAAGCAGACTGCATGGAAACTAAAATTTAACACTCATCGCTGTGAAGTACAGAAGAGGGCCGGGGGGGGGGGGGCTTGTGGTGCGGGGGGGGGGGGGAGCCGAGGGCGATATGAGCCTAACAGAGATGCGAGACACGGGAGGCGACATGCTTGGGGGAGATGGAGGAGTGGTGTGTGTGTGTGTGTGTGGTGCGCAAGTGACATACAGCTCTATTTACATCTCAAGGCCAAACATCCTTCTGCCCTGAAGTACGGGAAGACTTTCTGCTGGGGTCTCTGACCCACGTCCAAGCAACGCCCCCTACGGCATTGGGGCGGAGAGAGTGATGGGTGCGGTGAGGGGGACGAGTGCACACCACTGACACAGTTGGGGGGGGGGGTGAGTAGGCACTCTAACTGGACAGCATGAATCCCCCGACAGAATGATTGATTCATTGTTATTTTTTCGGCCACATATATGGAGGGATTGTATTGGGCGTGACTTTTTTTCCCAAATACGCATTTTTGGGATGTGTTCTTGTCCAAATAAGGAATGCTGGGACCGTGAATAGTCAGAAACGATACGGATGTTTCAGCAGCAAAGCGATCCAAAGCTCGATCAATGCTCGATCACTGCTCCGATAAAGCCCATTGGTAAAAATGTTGACTGTTCATCACCACATTGACGACCATTGGCTGACTGTATATTAACATAATGTATCATTCATTCTGTCGGGGATTCATGATGTCCTGTTACAGGGTGCACCAAGGAGGGGGAGCAGGCTGAGTCATCGACGGATCCGTTCGCTACTTCAGCGTCCACCGTTGGTATTGGACTTTGTTGCGATACCAGCGGTGCCAAACAACAGCGGCGCGACCCACCCCCAGCCGGGATGAATGGAAGTGTAACACCTAATGTAGTGGCCACTCAGTGTAAAACCCCATGGCCTGTGAACCAAGTTCTAGATTTGAAGCTTTCGTGACTGCAAGGATTCATACTCTTAGGTTTTTTCGGTAAAGTCACGTAGGAAAAAAAATAATAAAATTTAAATTAAAAATAATAATATAATTAATTGATAATAATAATTTTTTTATGAAAGTAATAATAAAAGTAAAAATATTACTTTTATTAATTTTAATTTTATTATTTTTTAACTACGTGACTTTACCGAAAAAACCTAAGAGTATTGTGAGCCAAGGTTGTGGCTTCAGCCCAGCGCGGTTCTCTACATCATGAGGTTTGCACCCAGCATTCATTCTTCCGCCTGTCCGTGTCCGTCATTCAGAGCCATTACCGTGACAGCCTTGGCACCCCCGTGACTTGTGACATTGTTTGTGGAGCAAACGTCAATAGTTATTTCAGCAGTGCCACACTTTGGACGCGATCGTCTGCATGCATATATATTAAACAAAGTTAATATATTTTTAAGTGACCATCTATCTCATCGTTGCGTCTCGTCGTATTTCCAGAGCCACATCTATATATGTCAATTTTACATAGGTGAACTACAGAATATATATTTTAATTATATACAATCGGTTACTTTCAACAGATTCCCACGAATCTGTTCATCTCTGAATTCAGTTAACTTTGTGTACTTTCATTGAGGATCAATACATTATTCTCATTATCCTGTTCCCTTGAAATATTCAGCATGGCTCCAAAGACACCAATGAATTACCATTGCTAAATTGGGTAATTCCCAACGAATATAATATAGATTCGCACGAATAGAGTACGGTACAAAGCACACACACATACAAAGATGTGTGTTAATAATATAACGAACAGATTAAAACAAACAATTCGTCTCATTATGCGTAAATGTTTTCTCTCCAAATTGACTGGCATGACATCGAACGTAAAGCATAACCCTTGAAGCAGTGCTACCTCGTGTGATGATTATCTCGCTATCTGCTCACACACGGGCTTTTAAAAGCCACGTCTTGAGCATCTGTAGTTTAACTGTAACAAACTGCCACCTTTGTCTCCTCTCCTCTCTCCCCTTCTGCTGACATCCGCATTTCTCAGTTGCAAGCCGGCTCGGGGAGGCCGACGGTGGATACGAATGGGCCAATTGTAAATTTGTGCCTATTTTTCTCAGGGTGTTTTTCCCCTCCTCCTCCCCACCACCACCACCACCACCACCCTCCTCTGTCTCTTCCACACTTCATTCCACGGGTGCAGCTGCTGTTATCGGTATTTGCAGACACCCGGCCCATTTCAACCCATGCCCGAGTTCTGAGCACTAACTGTCAGTGACGCATTCATCGGGCGTGACTTACAACTCAACAGTGGATTAAAGGCAGCCCAGAAATATCGAAGGGCACTGGCAATGCGCGTAGCATGTTTTTGTTTGTTAAAAATTGCCTTTGCTCTGAAAAGATGTCGGCAGCCTCACTGTTTTCTCTCACACACACACACACGTGCACGCCGAAACATGTCTCTAACCTAATGACGAACTTTCAACAAAAATCTTTTACCGTCTGGCGAGCCCAATTTTTCGGGAAGAATTCAGGACAGTGCCATTATAGGATGAGAGGTCCGCCGAGTATCAGCTGGCAGATCAGTTTCGACTTTCACAAATGCCCCATGTGCTGGCGTCGGGGAGAAATGGATGGCGCTCGGGTAGAATGCGACGCACAAATCACAGCGCAGTGATTATGTTATGACAGGCAAACAAAAATTACTTTCACGGGTGAAAAATCCAATTGGTTCTAAGTTACCACATCCCATCAGCACCGTTATCTGTGTAATGAGTCTCACGCATTTAGGACAGAATAATGGTGCTGCTTCTCTACGCTGCAGCTGCAGATTTGGCTTGTGGCGGCGGCCGATACGAAAGCGGCTCGGGGGTTCTACGCTTTAACGTCTCCACGTTAGTGCTGTTTTCACCCCCGAAGGTCCTCAACGGGCATGCGTCCGGCGGTGGGAAGCGGTCATCTGAATGATGCACAAAAGGCATTCTTTTTTTTTTACTCACCGGAGAATTTCTTTTCTCGTAAAGTAGCTGCAGTCCTGAAAAACACAAAGAGATATTTTTGGATGAGCGACATGTGACGCGTCATCGAAACTCCGATTAGCACGGTTGGCTACGTACGGTGCGAAAGAATTTCAACATACACACACACATACATACACACATGCAACACTATTTCGAAAAATAGTTTATTTGTGCGAATGTCATTTGACGGTTTTGTTTTGTGATACGGTGTCGAGAGAGAGACCTGTGTGGAAGCAGATTTCAACATAAATATGTTGTAATGATGTGGTCCTTTCGATAATTCACCTGCATAAAGCTGCACAGTGCCTACCTTGATCGACATTTGCATTTGGGTTTACTCCACGTGGTAGTTTTATGCCAACATGATCGACATTTGGCATACAACCACCATGTCGCCTAACCCAAAAGGCAAATGTGGATCATTGAATTGGCTACGAAAACCTACATTTTAAGTGCCTACCTTGATTGAATGCTGGTTTTCATCATAGGGACCCTTTAAATGCTCAAATGAGTTGCCGATGTCCTTACCGTGACAGTAGATTAGGTATTTTCACAGCACCAGTAATTATACGCACCCTTCACTTGTTTTAAAAATGAAATAAAAATAAAACATGCATGTAGAAGTAAACAAAGCCATAAACCACGTCGGGTGATTTTATTGGCTTTGGAAAGACACATGAGAATAAATCATGCCAGAGTAACTGCTTTATGTGAAATTTTTAGGAGGTATGTTGATGAACTATTTATTAGTTTTTTTAAATGAACACATTTATTTTAAAATCGAGGAAGCGCTCTCTTATTTTGCTAATGGACTATTTACAAGGAGACCATATTTTGATGGAGAGACTGCTCATACAAACGTGGCCCGTGCGTCCACTTCTCTTCCTGCTGCACAACAAAAAAAACGCTCGGTGGAGAAATTGCTTCACGTTGCAATGTCCAGGGTCAGTGGGCCATCTACCACCCAGCCTCCTGGCCACATCAAGCAATGTACTGTTGTCAGTGACAACGAGGCGACGAGCCTCTTCTGGCTCTACGTTTGATTTCTACGAGTAGCAGCACTACGCTCTGTTTGCGGAAGGGACGGTGTCGAACGAGCGATTCACCAATCGGACGAAGCTTTAACCATTCAACGGGGGGGGGGGGGGGGCACCAGCGCCTTCTCAAATCGAGCTGTTCGATGGCCTGTAATGCCATAAAAAAAGGAATCGCATGACTGCAAATCACGGGCCAACTTTCGCCTCGGCCCTCGCCCAATAAATGAATCGATGATAAATTATTCCCGTTCCACGCACAAGCACGCACGCACAACCGTGCGCGCGCACACACACACACACACGTGTAACCACAAACAAACGTGCACACGGACACACATGCAAATACAAAGATCCCCCATCTAGGCTTTAACAGACCGTTGGGACAAGTGCTGTTAGCGAGCACCTATGAAAGCCGGCGCAGCACGCCTGGGTGGTCAGCCCCACGCCCGGCCACCATTGTCTCTCAAGTGTTGATGTTTATACTCCGCACCGGATACTAATTCAATGCTGAATCGACCTAGGGGAGGCCCAGGAGTGGTTCAGATATTCATCACTGATATTGGTCGTTAGCGGGAATCGAACTCGGGTCGTCGAATTCTTTAAGCAGCATGCTATCCATTGCACTACATACTCCCTACAAAGACAAAGATTCCTCGTATAGCCTTATTAGACTGTTGGGGCAAGTGCTGTTAACGAGCACCTATGAAGGCCGGCACGGCACACGAGGGGGTGGGTGGCCAGCATTACGCCCGGCCGCCTTTGTCTCCAAGTAGCCATGTTTAGACACCGCACCAGGTACTCATTTGATGCTGAGTCGACCTAGGGGAGGCCCAGGACCGGTTCAGATAATCGTCACTGGTGTTAGCGAGCGAGAATAGAACTCGGGTCGCCGTGTTCGTAGCGCAGCGCACTAAACATTACACTACTGCTCCCCACTCCCTACACTCACACAGCGCTGACCCGTCAGGGAAGTGATGACCCTTAAAAATAACACAATCAGAAATAAAGCAAACTCCTTGAAATCTTTTGCCAGCGGAACGAAAATGAGTGGGAGAACATCAAGCAAAGTCGTTTTGGGGTTTAGCGATAAAGTGGGCAGTTGGGACACTGTCTCCAGTCTCGTGTGTCACTGGACCAAAACTACGTCATGGTAAAAATCACGACGTTTCGGAGGCAACACAAGCTTCCGTCTTCAGGTGGAACCGTCACAGCCACGACAGCTGTATCAAGTAAATGAGAGATTGCAAGAGCTACCACTCATTTACTTGATACAGCTGTCGTGGCTGTGACGGTCCCACCTGAAGACGGAAGCTTGTGTTGCCTCCGAAACGTCGTGCTTTTTATTTTGTTTTACTTTTATTAATTTTAATGTTTTACCTACGTGACTTTGCCGAAAAAACCTAAGAATATGAATCCTTGCAGTCACGAAAGCTTCAAATCTAGAATTTACGTCATGGTAGTTTGGCGAGGAAGACCTACACACACTGGGTTGGAGAACGTGAGTGACAAAATGGTCCTGCTTGTAACAAAAATTGTCTTTTGTGTCAACGTCACATGGGAAAATTATTCACCGGATGACGCGACAGTTTATTGGCAGACAAGCTTACGTTTAAAAAAAAATGCATAACAACTGCCCTTAAAAAAGATACAATTTCCTATAAATAAATTGAAATGGGTTAAGTGATGAGTGTTAAATTACGTGCATCAGAAAATTGCCTCAGTGTAAATGCAGTAAAAAGATCAGTGATAATGGTTGGAAAATATATGTTGCAAATATTTAAATATCTAACCACTGTGTACAAAGAGACATTGGCAATGTGGGGGGGGGGGGGGGGGGGGGTGGGGGGTGATTCATCATGTTATTTCTCCATTGTTATTATTTATTCAAAATAGGTTTGATATTAAAGAAAAGCAAAACAACTAACGTATACGACATTGTATTCTAATTGTGAGTTGTGCACACATTGAGTGGTAGTGCTGAGCTGCTAAACAACAATAATTGCCTAAAGTAGGCCTTACCTGATAAAATAAAACGCGTGAATTTTCTGGCAACGAGGTTTTCGTATGATCGATTCTCATAAAAACAGAAAACCCTGGCGTCGTGTCATGAGTCTCAATACTCTTTTTTTCGGAGAATCATTCACTGTCAATGATTGTGTAATTCCTTTTCAAGAGTGTTTTTGCATCAGGAAGGAAATTTGAAAAACGCCTCCCACACAGGGGATATGTGTTGCCAGCAGAGAGCAGTGCAGCAGAATCCAATGTTGTGTCGTACTCCGCCGCAACGTTTATGCATCTCACCTTCACCAACTCGCATTGACCAGTGTGGTGGTGTACAGATTACAGATGGCCTGCGTGATGTAGGCTTCAACCAGATTTAAAAAAGAGCTGTGCATGAACATACAAGGGCATAACGCTGAAAGGTTCACGCCGGTTCACGAACCCACTACGAAATCAAAGGGCTGTAGATGCACAGCCAAGGGAATAACAGTGAAAAGTTCCCACAGACCGGTTCAAAAATCCACTACGAGTTTAAAGCGCCCGTACATGTGCAGACAAGGGGATAACACTGCAAGGTCCGCACAGACAGGTTGACGAACCCACTTGCACATAAACTATCCACCGCCTGAAACATAATTGCCCAAAGTGGGAGAACGTTTCACTCTTCAAATGGGGCCTTTGAAAAGGAAACGCTGCCAATTTCCAAGTGAAGGTTACGCCCCACGGAGCTCGCCACGTCACGGACAAATAACTCGTGCTTTGGGCTGGCAGTGTGTGTGATGGCTCACTCCATCTGCCCTGCTGAGCCAGCACCAGCGCCGGGTAGGGTGAGGGCGGTCCACCAGAGCCTTCGTCTTGCCCCCCCCCCCATCGCCAACCCTCCCGGGGGGACAGAGCGCCGGGCGTGACGGTGCCCCCCCCCCTCCCCCCCGGCTCCGCCCCCCCCCCCCCAACTTCAGGTCACCCACAAAGTCCCCTAAGTGTGCCGTGTCTGCTCTAATGGTCCTCACATTTTCGGGTGTAAATGGAAATTTATTTTAAACATCGAATCTCCCACGGTTGCAAATTTTGCTCTGGGCGTGGTGATAATTGGTGGAGGTGACACAATGATTCGACCTAAAATTTCGATTTAAAGCTTTCGTGACTGCAGGGATTCATCTTCTTGGTTCTTTCGGTAAAGTCACGTAGAAGGGAAGTAATAAAATAATAAAAATAAAACAATAAAATAATTCTCACACTCGGGGGCCCAAGTGTGAGAATTATTTTATTATGTTTTATTTGTATTATTTTATTACTTCCCGTCTACGTGACTTTACCGAAAGAACCAAGAAAATGATTCGACCGTTGAAATCGACGAGGAATGGTTTTAGGAATGGTTTTGGAAGCGTAATGCGCTGTGAATCCAGTGACCATGAGCTCGAGACCTGGCCACGGCTAACATCAGTGGCGATTGACATTCTGAGCTGGTTCAGGGCACACGACCCCTTCACCAACACGTGCTGACCGGCGTGAAGTATGATCGTAAACCCCCCAATGTATGCACATTGAATGTCTTTCGCACCGCACGTAGCCATCCGTGCTAATTGGAGCGACATGGGAAGGCCTTCATCCAGCAGTGGATTGACAAATTGATTTAAATGATACATTGTTATACTGGGATGTAGAAAAAAAAACGTTGAAAGATGCCACGGGGTTTATAATATTGTGTATGTGGATGTGGGCTGATCAAGATGTACAAATACGGGCTTTTATGTTAATTTTTTTTTACAATCCAGAACAGAAGGAGAACACCCTCATGCCATGCGGATAGTGGAGGTTACATGACTATACTTCACCACGCAGGTCAGTCTGGGTTGGTGAAGGCGGGGAGAATAGGTAGGGTACCATAGAAGTACAGTACAGACATTTATTTTTCTGCACTGCCCTCTGCTGATAACCACGTAGCATAGCCCCAAGGCCGCCTATGGCAACCTGGCCACATCTATAGGAAACGGCGCGTTCCGGGCAATTTGGTCATAGGCTGATTATAGCTACACAGGACTATGAATTACAAACTACTAATTGGGGTCATGCTGTCTGGAATTGTAGAAAGAGTACTGTGCTACAGTCCGTACTGCATGGGGTGAAGAGAGACCGGCGTAGTACGAACTGGCCGTATACGGTCCAATAGACAATGCACGCGGTTTGAGTTTGAGCACAAAGATGAACGTTCAATAATGAATGCGCTTTTTGCCATCAACGTGAACGGATTATTGCACCTCCTCTTACATTGTGCCTGATGATGCAGTGACAAACACGAGTTCCGTTTGGAGCGATATCATATATGCAATTAAATGAATGCCCATTGCCAATCGACTGCTGAATTGCCATGCTAAGTGGGGAGCTATTCGACCATACTTCACCACGCTCGCTCGTGCGGGTTACGATTGACGACTTCCACATGACCGTCACTTTCAAATTCATAAGTTCAACGAATGTCCGTCCCCGTATTCCAAAAAAAACCCCCAACAAACTGAAATGGATATCGTGTAGAATGTTCCCTCTTATTAAAACGAGCGTTGGACTGTGGTCATCTCTGTTTTGCAGCCATGAGCCAACAGCTTAAAATGCTTGTACACTCTATGGTGGAGACCAGCATAGCAGTGGAGACCACTTCATATGATCGAATATTAATTAACAAAATACATCCTCATCAATAAATAACAACCTCAGCCGCATTATATACACACACAGGCACTGTAACATTTAGAACCAAGTTTAAAACCAAACATTTGGAAACGCCGTAACGCATCTCTCCGAAACTGCATTTCATCATTTCACAACTCCATTCTCATACGCCACAATTTACCTGCGAGTTGTAACGTTCAATCAGAGCAACCAAGTTAACATTTGCACGGCCGTGCACATCCTCACCGCCAACGCGGCGTCGCCACGCAAACAAAACTCGGCGCGACTCTCTCCTAAGTTACCGTGCGACGTTAACGCAGCGCTTCTTCGACCGCTACTTCAAGCGACATCACCAAAAATCTGCGGAACCCCCCCCCCCCCACACCTCCACGAGCCTCACTCTTTCCTCTCACCTGGTAGGCGTCCAGCTGCTCTTCTGTAAAAATGGTTTGCTTGTTGCCCATCTCGGAGTAGCGCGGGGGGCCGAGGTGGCGACGCACCGCGACATCACCCAGCCGCTTCTTAAGAGCTCCCACCGAGACGGACACACGGCGCGAGAGGAATAGCGCAAGGTCCTGTGGCCGCTAGAGCCCGCTCGCTGGCTGGACGGGCGCGCACTGGGAGGCGAGCGTGCATGGCGCACACCCTGGTCAGTCGCCGGGGGATGTAATAGGGAGGGACGTTGCGGCAACTACAGTGCAGTACTTTTTCCTCCCCTTCCTCCTCTTCTTCTTCTTCTTGGGCTTCTTACATAAAATAAATATACGGGTGCGAATGTATCCCAGCGACGCGAGGCACGCAGAACCAAAGCTGCCTCACCCGCACGTGCGTTGAGCTGCTATGCTGGAGCTCGCGGCGCTGCTCTTTACACGGCAATGATAACGATGGCCCTGCAAGTGTTTGCGAGCGCACGTTGATTGAAGGGGGAGGGAGGGTAGGCGGGGTGGGTGCGGGGCGGGCGGAGTTATTATCGGCTGAGTTCTCGCGGCGCGCTCGACCGTTCAGGTCAGCACCATGGACAGCGGTGGATCGGAGGTGCTCTGCTCGGTATTTTCCAACGTCGGCTAACAGCGGCGGTGGCAACTTTGCCGACCGTTTCGTATCGGAGGCCGGGTCTAAAGCGGCATCGCACCGTTTCTACTGACAATCTGCCTTGTAGATACAATTGCTCCCGTTCCTGTTCATCTTCACTGCCTCTCTCCTGAAGGCTTACCCGCCCACCCCGTCACTCCGCCACCCTGCCACTGTGTCATATTTGTCGTCATTATAATCCTTGTTTCTCAGCGCTTCTCTCTCCTCTGCATGGTTTTAATATTACGCCTGCAGATGCACAATTCTCACCTTCCCCGTTCGTCTTCGTTGTCTAATCTCCTGCTGTTCTTCTTAAAAATGTCATCTTTGCCTTCGGTACAATTGTCATCTTTTCATCGCTTCATCCTCTTCGTCTTCATTTTTTAATTTTCGTATTCTGTCACCCGCTCTATATTCCACAATTTTATTATCTTTTACATTCTCAAAACCCGTTTAGTTCCGGTGCTATTACACCATTTCGTGGGTCTATAGTTGCGTAGTATATGGTTAAGAATTTTTTTGTCAAAGTATTACATTTTAGCGTAAACACTTAAACACAAATATTATTTTCTTTATTTCAACAATTGTAATCTTGGTGACTTAGTGTTTAGCTTACAGACAACCTATGCGAATGCTGATTTAGCAGTATTATGTATAAACAAAAATAATGTAAAAGAAAAAAGTGAATTGTAGTCAATGATAAGACAGTCTTGGTTAGCTGGAGATGACTCCAGTCAGAATTACACAAAATACAAAAATTAATTTGATGTTAGTCGCATTAACCCGCTCTCTACCCCGTCGACCAAACCTTCTTTAAAACTCACTCGTTGAACCCCACAATATCCCGTAGAATATCTGTCGTTCCAAATGTCGAGATCCTCTCAGTCACAATAAAAACATCTTTAAAAAAACCTCACGTTGTAATTTAGTGTTACTGGGTGGATGACCGGCACACAGCGAGTTGCAACATTTGGTGGCTCTCACAAAATGCGTGAAACTCCTAACCCCACTGGGCCCAAGAGGTGGCCACGAGATGGCAGCACAGCAAACGGGTTGCATCAATCTGTGCAGACCTCTCAGCGTCATTGCCTCATACGTCTGATGGGGGTTCTCCGGATACCTCGTACCTGGGCATTGGATAAACATCCCAACAAAGGTCTCTCCTGAAAAATCAAACGGTCTCACGACTTCTGGATGAACAACACCTCCCTTACCCCCCTATTAATTATAGTTACAAGATAAAGGGTTGTGCTTTTGTGTGTGTTGTGGACACACGATAAGGATGCAGTTGTAGAAATACAGTTTTGTTTTTCTGTGTATGTGTGTCGAGGGACGGTGTAAATTGAAATAATGCTTTTATTACGCCGGTGAATTTATTTGAAATGCGTGGCATGAAAAGCACAATTATTGGGATGTAAAACGCAGCATAATGTTACGCCTCACAGAAGCCGACGGAGATTATAATTGCCGACGTACACAAAATGAGATAAGCGTAAATCCAGATTTACAGTAATCAGCATTAAATATGCGTATAAATCGTGCGAATGTGTTGTAAAGTGATTTAGCACAACCTCCAAATTAATTTTCTCGAAGCTACATATCCCTGGGCTGTGTGTGTGTGTGCTTATCTGTACACATAATTATAAGTAAGTATGTTAACTCACGCCTGATTAAACAAGTTTTTAGTTTTCATATTGGTGGTCGGTCATTAAGCTGAAATGTAGTTTCAGTGAATTCTCAGCACCCAGAAAAAAGTACACTCTGGCTTTTACAATAATCACATGTTCTTGGTTCTTTCGGTAAAGTCACGTAGAAGGGAAATAATAAAATAATACAAATATAAAACAATGAAAATTCTCACGACGTTTCGACTGCAACACAAGCAATCATCATCAGGTGTGAAATTCACAGCAAGAAATATTTGAAAAAAGTGCTGTGGATTTCACACCTGATGATGATTGCTTGTGTTACAGTCGAAACGTCGTGAGCATTTTTATTGTTGTATTATTTTATTATTTCCCTTCTACGTGACTTTACCGAAAGAACCAAGAATATAAATCCCTTATCAGCAGTCAGGCATGCTCGATTCAATGCTAACGAACTGCCACATCTTAAAGGCAAAGACTCTCTCCTTATGCCTTCAGCGCCCGAGTTCGACGCTAAATTAAGTAGCACTAATTCTCCTTTTGAGCTAGCGATTATTCATGTATCATTCCTTTGACAGCCGTGGGTCTATTTTTGAATAACGTGGCGTATGGCTGTAATGCGATCGCGGTACACGACGGCCGTGCAGCCATTTTTATATTCATCCACGTCACAGGCAGGCTCAAATACGTATTCATACGTAGGGTAGTAATAGATGTTTTTTTATTATTTCGCTACACTCCAACTGTACAGAACGGTGTTTGCGAGATGCGAGTTCATGGTTCGTTTCTTGAGTCTTTCACCTCGAAAGACCGACGCTGGCTCAACACCATCATCAGCGTCGTTGTGACGAATAAAAGTTACGAATATATAATAACACAATATTGTCCGCTAAATTCGTTACGCTGACTGTGTAAATAAGTTTCCACTGATCATATATTTTTATACAGAACACGGTATAGGCGAGGAGCGGTGGCGCCGTGGTTAGCCCACTGTGCTTCGAATCGGGCGAATTGATTCCGATTCTCGGCCACGGCCAACGACAATCAGTGTCGAGTGATATTGGAGTTTACCCACGTGTTGTATTTGCCTTTTTATTATTACACGCTTTTATTTAACTCACTCTGTCTGTTGTTGTTGTGGTCGTATCCTCAAATCTTGTCACTCAATTTTAACCCACTTCCCAATGTGGTATCGGCTGCAGACTTGGTATACTTATGTCATACTGATGACAATACTATATTCTATCATAAACAATTTATTGTTTTAAACAATGTTTTTAATATGTTATGTTTCGTCTTGGGTCTGATTGTCCACGGTAAACTGACGTTGGCTGTAATGGGCCACCACCCCTTACGTTATGGAAAGCTTCAGGGCCACTTCCTGGAGTCGTGGAGTTCTTCCATTACTAGTACATTTCATAAAAGCGTGTTTTTAAAAGTTTTTTTACTATTACTTTTTTTTACTCGTAAAAGCATGCACGTAATACAGCCCTCTGCACTATACGGGTTGAGCGGTGGTGCAGCAGTTAAAAAACAAACACGTGGCTACGGACCAAGCGACCTAAGTTCGATTCCTGGGTACAGCTAACATCAGTGGCGAGCGATATCTGAACGGGACATTTATGTGTGGCCCCCCTTCCCTCCCAACCCCGCCCGCCACTTCACCAGCCTGCACTGAGCAGCGTGATGAATGAGGTATGGTCAAGCAACCTCTGTGAACGAACCTTCATTAAGCAGTGGATTGACAAAGGCCTGCAAATTGTGAACGGACATTATTTGTTCACTTTTCCGTGTACGAGTTCAAAGACCCGGTCACACTTGTGTGTAAACGAGCGTAGGAGGCCCTGACCTGTCTAAATTCGTGTTATTATGACGTGAGCTGGCGTTAACATGGACCTCAAGCGCTCACAAAATTCCATTTACAATGTGATCAATTTATGGATGCCCCATTAAAACGGAAGGGGAGAAATAAAAAAAAACGAGTTTTATTTCAATGCCTCTATATGTCTCCAAGCGATATCAATGCAATCATTAAATATTTTAACAGCCGGTAAGACATTGAGCCATCAACTTTCACACAATTCACTCACCTGTTGAGAAGCGAAGAGGGTCATAGACATCGGTAGGGTATCTACAAATGGATCGTCCCGTATTAGTTGTTGCGTGATTCTTAAATGTGTGCACAAGCATCATAATCTAATCCTATTATTGATGGTAATGAGAGTTTAAAGATGCAAGTCACACTGCATTTCAAACAACACGCAACTTTTTTTTTTCAAAGCACAGCTTCTGCGCATGAGCAAAGTCCAACAGCATTTTCTCTGGAAGTGCATTGTTATCATCTTGTTCGAGGTTAAATACATTTGAGCAAACGTGATCGACTGACAGTAGCAGTGATATAGTGATAGGAAACTGTGAACCGGTGTCATACGTATTACGACTCATCAGCACAATATAGCCACTGCTGCAGAGAACATTCACTTGGAGTCCCCACTTCCACTCTAAGGGGCCGATTATCTTGACTATTTGCCAACGATTATAAAATCTGTCATTGACGATGAAAAACCCACCATCATCATCATCGCAACAGAATAATCGTGCAGGCCGGAACATCGTAAGCTTCAAACAACACGCCAAAAACATTGTGTAGAAACAACCCACTCCACTGAGCCTCTTTGCACGATCAAAAACCAGCGAACGTTTGCTGAAGGAGTGCACTCCAGTAGAAATGCTCTCCATCGGTCAAAGTTCCTCAAAGCATATTTTGACGGTGACCTAAGATAAGAGAAACACACTGAACGTGTTCTAGGGATTGCTGATGTTTTTTTTTGCTAAATGCACATCGGCGGCGTGCATGCTGTTAAACACGTGTTTTTTTGGTGTGTGCCTTGTTTGAAACTTAAGGCTTTGGTGTCCGGGCCTGCACTAGTATTCCGTTGTGATGGATTTTTGTCGTCATCCACAGATTTTATCGCACCGCTTTGCTCACAACTCGAGCC